CACTTTGGCAGAAGCAAATCGAGATAAGTTCGAACAGGAACGCCTCTAATGGATGAAACATTTCTTCGGATTTCACTTGACGACATTTGAGTAAGTTTTCGCTGTAAAAAGCCGATTAGAGAAGCTCAAGAAGAATGATACAGGAGAGATGATGATGACCAGACAACTGTTAAAATGACTACTCATATTTCTATTTCGTCTATAAGTAGTCTGTTTGAGACTACCAGTGGATAATTTATACATGAAGTGTATTCCGTTTGAGGTGATAAGGAGACAATGACATGAGCCTTGTCTTCCCAAAAGATGTTCTTATCACGGTTGGAGTGAACTGCACTTTTGAGCTCGTCTAGACCTTGTTGATACTCCAAACGGGACTCGAACCATGACAATGCAGCGTGCAACCTCGACCCGTTAACCACCGCGCCACATTGCCACGAGTGTCCTTGGCTCACAGTGCAGATGCCAGGTGTTTTCCCATATCACATTCTATGGTGGGATTGTCGATGAAGCAAAGCTGTATCTGCCATGGCAATCGACTACGTTGGTATGTTTCGTTCATAAGTGGCTTGTTTGAGTCTACCAGTAGATCATGTATATATGGATGAGAATAACTTTTGGGAAAGCAATAAATTGTGAAGTTTAGTGGAAAAGTAAGATATACGCATATCATTGTGGGAAAAATTAAGCTACCGGTCCCCATTTCACTTTGTATACTTATATTTCGCCTGAGTAGTATAACTAATCTATGCTTTGGCTAGATTGTCGAGTTGTTGAATTGACTTCACCTTCGAGTGGAAGTGTTTGGTGAATAGATTCAAAGGCCGATCCCACTGGATGACCAGCTGTCGATTGGCTTAACTGGAACGGTATTATTGACACTGTTTCCGAGGCAATTTCTTTCGATTCCGGTGAAAACGTGCTAGGCCATCGGATATCATCGGAGCAGCAGCATCATCATCCTCACGACCATCTTCAAACTAACCTGCTAATAAAACTCAGCGACTCATTTCCGAATGATGTATACAACAATGCTCTTTGATGGAACATAAATCTACGTATTTGGTTAAAAAGTAGTATTACAAGATTTTACTCAATCTCACGAACTACTCTTGTTTCCTGATAAAGTGATTCTTTCGTTGATCTCTCCAGAAGATGGCGATGGAGCCCTGTTTATTTGGAGTTGTCTGAGTCTATCGCGATATTCTGCTAGACGCATTCCACACAAAACCGTCGTTCGGTTCCAGAATGCATTGTCGTCTACGCATCAGCATCCAAGATTAATCGCCTGCTAATGAAAATGTTGGGCATTTTTCCTATGGGCTTGATAGACGGCAACGCAAAATAAATGAATAAAAGGAGGAACATACTAATCTAGTGAATTATTTTTGGTACTGATTTAAGGACTTATTCGTTTCGATTGGTAAAATTTATAAATTCTTTGCCGATTCATGATGGCCAAGCGTTCAGTCTTGCTACTATGGTAACGAGAAAGGAGGTCTCGTGGACTGCGAGGCGGCACCGAACAACGGTGAACTCGACCGACCAACCCACCTTTCCATTACACACACTAACACATAAAACCGAATTCCGCGCCAAAAGGCATACGATGGACAAGTTTAAGGTGTGAAAACTTTTGTTGGTCGGTACACTGCCTACTTGTAGAGCAGGTGGGGCCGAAAAATGGATCAGCGCAATAGCAAGCCGCAGTTCCAGAGACCATGCTACAAGTACCGCCGTTGAGACAGACCGTTCCGGAACAGCCGTCTGCAAGAAGAATAAGAGAAAAGGTAATTTGTTCACTTTGCAGAACACACTCTCTTCGCGTATGTGATGTAGAAAATAATCAAGTACCGACAGAGTTGAGGCGAATAGACGACCCACTTTTCCTCGGGACGGAGGCCAGTCGAGTCTTCTGAAGGAGTCGCGAGTGGGGCTCGAACTTACGATTCTTGTGGTCATAGGTCCCCATAATCATCTGCGCCACTAGCAACAAGAAGCATGGTATTCTGCCTTTTACCCATTTAAGACACAAGATTTCACTCACTCGTGCCACATGCCCCTGACGTGGGATATTGTGGGCACAGAGCTCGACTGGGGGAATCGTAAAATGCAAACCGCCTTCAAAGAGAACGCTCCCTGAGGCTACAGGATCTCGAGAAGCCGGAAGTGAAGTCAAAGCAGGACTTGGCTTCATCACAGCTGAATATCCTTTATGCAGTCATCACATTAAGCAGTGAGTTCAAGCTGATGGCTGAATATATCTTGTACCATCTTGTTCATCTCACTCTCGCGTGAAAATGTGTATGAAAGGAAGAAACTCGGAGGTGGAATAGATCAAAAGACAACGGCAGATGCCCCTGGGCCAGCTGTCGGTTGGCTTGACTGGAGCCAACCGAGGAAGTCTCCTTCTATTCCGGTGGAAATGTGTTTAGATTTGGTCTGTCATATGACCGACTTCATCAGGTCAGGTACCACATTCCTACACCCGTATTTAAGGTAACGAGTCAAAAAAACTTACTGACCGGCTGTTTCATGATATATATATATATAGCCTAAATTAATGTATATTAAATAGTTATAAAGTGATTTTGTTAGTTCAAGTCATACGTCAATCTAGGGGCATATGTGTGTGTATGCCTATTTGCATGTGCCTATGTGTCTTCATGTGTGCAAAACCGGTAATAATAACCCAAAGTAATTTTTTAGCATGGGGATTTACTATTTTGCGTGTTATCCTCGTGCAGGGGCCAGAACAATCTTCTCGCTATCGTGTACTGATACTATGCTGTAACTACTTTGAGTCATGACCAGTATTTCGTACTATGAATCACATGCGTACGAAAGATAGTACACACACACACCTACAAACATTTACGCAATAACTATAAAAACAAAGGTAAGTAAGAGAAATGAACAAACCAGATAATTGTATACATATATTCTACTTATATTTGTGTGTACATATTTAAATATAGCATTTAGGGCATAGTTTATTAGTCTTCCTGAAGTAGTACTAGCTTGAAGCTTTTGTAGCTTCCAAAATTAAGGAAAACTACGTCAACCTGAAAATCATAGTAAAGTCATACAGCTGCAAAATATCTGGAATCAATCCTCGCCTTCCATTGACATCGTCCCACGAATCACTTCCTCGAGTGCGCTTCTATGAAATCAAAATCATCACAACATTGTTATTGCAGTTGAGTCAGCAAAACCCATTTACTCTTCGTACAAAGTACAAGCAGTTACTTAAGAATGTATGCACTACTACACATAAAAGAATTTCATTTTTCATTCATATAAGTATATTCATACCTATCTCTGTAAGAATGACTAAATTTATATTATTAGTTTAAGTAAAAAAACTAATTCAAGTTTAAAGTCAAAATTGACTAATAGGAAACTGTCACTAGAACAAATTATTAGTAGTATTAATTAAAAGTAAAAAAATCAAAGGTAGATTAAATAATTAATTAGAATAAATAAAATATCAATAACATCAATTAGTATCGGCATTAGTTGTTGTTTTAGTTGTCTTAATAGTATTCCGATTTCGTAGATTCCAGCATGTCGGAGAGACCCAAATGAGATTATATTTGGCTGTCATTTCCTTAAGTGGTACGTCTATTAGCCGGAATTAAGAGTCCCTTTGCAGGGATTCACACATGCGGCATGTGTGAAACGTGAGAATTTAGTTTTACAACAAGTGAACTGAAGAAGTATGCTAGCATATATTTCATTAAGTTTGACAATGAGAGTGGAAGGATTTGGTTATCTGGCCTCACCATAAGGTGGCCGGCCGTGTTCCTACCTACTACTTATAGCCTGATTTTGTCTACTTTATGAGACATTTCTTCCATTTCGAGTGAAAATGTGTGCGATTGGAAGACGTGTCGAGTTGAGGCGATTCTTGTCGAACAGCTTCATCCTCGTCGAATGCGCTTGCATCTTTTGATCCTGCATTGTTGGTGCATGCAATCACGCTCCATTGGGTGTGTATTGCATTTTGGTGTGCTCAATAGTCACGAGAGGTGTTTTGTATTAATGCTCTCTCTCTTTTTCTGGTTCCCATGCGAGTCAAGTGCCTGGCTGTTGTGTGGCTAGATAAGCTCTTATGCATAGGTCGGCAGGTCTGCCTCACACTAAAGTTTCCACATAAACCAAAACATGTGCCACAGCAAATGTAACAATTCAGTATCAATAAAATAAGGGATTCTTCAAGAGCTAGATTTTTTCGCGAGATAAGATGAAGTTAATAACGCCACTGCGATGACTACTGCTGCAAATGAGGTACGAGCCTCCGTCTGTGAAAGGAGAAAAGTCCCTCGATCAGCCAGCCTCTCGTTGTTGACATTCTATAGATTCGTGTGTTTATAAATCAGGTTGACGCCTCAATTCGACTGCCTCATTTGCTGGTTAAGTTTGGCTTCAGAGGGTGTACATTCCGGCCGCACCCTTTCGACGGAAAACTAATTGACACTGACCAAGTTGGCATCGGGATCCGGTGAATCCGGCCGAGCAGAGGCAACTGGCCTTGTCTCCGTCGACGACACAGGTGCCCTGGTTTTGGCAGACAACAGTCTCACAGCGATCTGAAAGGTATACACAAAAAAGTAGATAAAAAGAATGTGTTCTTTTTAAAAATCTCCATTTTATGCCGAAAAATAGACAAAATACCCTCTTTTTGCGTGTTTCGGGAAAAGCGGATAAAGCACGTTTTTACAAATGAAAAGTAGCTGTGTTTCGATGTAGCTTCTACATCGCATTGTTATGATGACTTTTCGGGTGTGAAAGT